CGCGCACCCGGGCAGCCTGCCTGCCGGGGGCGGGGCGGGCGCTGCCCGCACACAGGAAGTCGGGGCACCCAGCGGCTGAGGAGACCCAACTTGGGGCCATTTAAACCCGCCGGCCGCCTCAGCCGCAGGGCGGCCACGGCCTCCGCCTCCGGACCCCGCAGGAGCCGCCCGGCCCGGCCTCCGCACACCCCACAGCACCCCCGACTCCACCGCCCGCGGCGGGCACAAGCCCGAGACCCCGGAGCGCCTTTGTGCAACGCCCCGCCAACCTCCGCGGGGACGCGCGCCCCGCCGCCTTACCGAGGACTCCGCGCGGCCTCGCGCCAGGCGGCCCCCCCCGCTCTCCGGCCAGCCCCGCGGCTGCGGGACGCCGAGGCAGCCCGCAGAGCGCTCACTCGGCGGCGGCCGCGGCCGGCGCGTCCCCGCAGGCTGGTCTCCGAGGGAGGGTAAGTTCCAGGGCACGTCGGAGCGCGCCGGCGCGGGGGCGGGGCGGGGCGGGGCCCGAGGGGGCGGGGCGGGCTCACGTGACCCGCGGCGGGGGCGGGGCGGGGCTCATGTGACCGCCCCGGCGGCCGGGGCGCGCGCGGGGTGGAGGCGGGCATGGTGGGGCGGAGGGGGCGCGGAGCGGCGTCCGCACTTTGTAAACGCGGAGTGGGACGCGCGTGGGGAGAGCGAGGGAAGGGCGCGCGCGGAGCCCTGAGGGTGGCAGGAGTGGAGCTCTGGGGGGGCCCGCGAGGCCGTGGGCCGCTTGCCCCCCTAGGTTCGTCGTTCGCCGGGCCTGGAGCTCGCCCGGGGCTGGGCGGGGGGGATTCTCGAAGGTGCCAGGCGCAGCCTGGGTGGCAGAGATGGCCGTCTGGGGACCGCCGTGCGGGGCAGCGGCGGCGGAGACCCCGCCCTCGGCCGTCCAGGGGGCCACCGTGGCTTTGTCCGTGGGCATCCCGGGGTGCGGGGCTTGTGCGTGGCAGCCGGGAGTCCTGGGCGCTGCAGAGGGGGCGATCCCGCGGCACGAGGCGCTCTGCCGGCTGGAACAGGCATCGGGAAGCAGACCTGGCGTGTGCCATTGTGGCCTCGCCCGCCTGGGCCCCGGCCGTGGAGGAGTGACAGCGCTGAGGCCTGGGCCTCCTAGGGAGAAAAGTGTTAGGACTTCCGAAACCGCGCTTTCGTGGACTGGCTGTTGGTCGTGCCTGTTCCGAGGCCGGGATGAAACGTTAACAATACGGGCCAGAAACGGGGCGTGGGGTTGGGAGCCAGGCCGAACTCTCAGTTGTTCTTGAAAGGATCCAGAGAACCCCACCCCCACCCCATGGTGGCAAGACTGACAGCTGTCACTCACAGCCTTCTTGTTAAACTGAATCTGATCTGGGACTAAAGTTTCGAGATCGCCTCCTTTAAAGACGCTGAGGATAAAACTTTGGCAAAGCCAGGCTGAGACCGACTGCTCTGGCTTTGCACCTGCTGCTCCCTTTCCTGGGCATCCACCTGCTCTGTCCTGCTCCGTGGCTAACACGGGCCCTTTTCCACTCTCTTATTCAGCAGGTGGAGTATTTCCGCTGTACGCTTCTGTAGCTGTTTTCCACAGAAACCCCTTGTGATCTCTTTCTAAAACCAAGACAAGGACACATTGCAAAAAGGAAGTCATGCCCTGATAGGAAGTGCTGATAGCCTTATCTCTCCTACTCCCCAAACCTGAAATGGGAACCATTGGTTTCAGGGATAAAATAGAACCAAACAGTTTGCATACACTTGCTGATCTGTCTGTAACTCCATTTCCTCTTTCACAACCTAATCTCGGCTGATACCACAATGCCCACAGTATGCTGATCATTACCAACAGCAGATGGAGTCAGATAAAAAGAGCTCTCCATAGTGTGTTGTTTTCGAAAGGGCCTGATGGAGAGCTATGAAATCATATGCAACATTGCCTGTAGTTAGCTTTTAAATAGCACTTGTAGCATATGTCTGGCGCCTGTACTCGGGATCTCAACAGATCATTTTCAGGATTTTGACATTTAAATGGCTTCTTACCGAAGTAGCAGAGAGTTCCAAAATGTAGAACTCCATGTAAGCTCCGCACACAAGCAGAGATCAGCGTCTGCTTTGTTTGAGTATATATCCTAGCTGCCCCAAACCACTTGACACGCATTAGATGCAGAAGAAATCCCTATTAAATGTATTTTTGAATGTGAATGGACTCTGCAGGTTGCTGGAAAAACTTGTCCCACTTTCTAATTCTTTAATAGGTAACCTACTTTGCATTGTATATTTCTAAATGAAAAAGCATTAAATTGTATCTGGCATCACTACTTTGGCTAGGCTACAGTGAAACAGGAATTTGGCAAGATCTATCAAAATTACAAATGCATATATACCCAGAACTTCCCATTTCACTTCTAGGGATTTATCCATTAGCTGTCTATCCAGACGTGAGAAAGGACAAGATATTGCTTACGGCATTCCTGAGACCAGCAAAAAGTCGGGCGCAACCTGAATATCCAGGACACTAGTTAAATTATGATGCATCTGGATATTTGACCATTATGCATCTGTTAACTGAAAGGAAAAAAATGAGAAAGTTCCTCTGTGGTTTTTAAAAAAGATTTATTTATTTCAAAGGCAGTTAGAGAGAGAGAGAGGGATCTTCCACCTGCTGGTTCACTCCCCAAATGTCTGCAATGGCCAGGGCTGTTCTGAGCCAAAGCCAGGAACTCCATCCTGATCTCCCACCCAAGCAGCAGGGGCCCAGGTACTCGGGCCATCTTCCCTTGCTTTCCCTGGTGCATTAGCAAGGAGCTGGATGAGAGGCAAGCAGCTGGGACTTGAACCAGCGCTGTGATACAGGATGCTGGCATCATACGGGCTTAATCCACTGTGCCACAATGCTGGCCCCTCTTTTGTGCTTTAATGTTAAGATTTTTAAAGTGGAAAAAAGCACAGAATAGTGCTTGCATATGCATTAAAATGAACCTGCTGCCTGTTGGGGTATGAGAACTGGATGGAAGGCATGAAAGATAGACTTCCCAGTATATTCCTATTTAAACTCTTTGACATTTGTACCATGAGAATGATTTACCTATTCAAGAAGTTCAGGTGTGTAATTTAAAATTTCCCTGACATCCTAAAATTGTAAGTTGTTTTCATTCAGTTCAGGTTGAAAACTTTCTTAATACTGATTGATAATTTAAGACTGAGATACTATGTTTACCTTGAGGCTTCGCATACGTCTTACCTAATGTACATAAATTTTCAAAAGTACTGTATATACGTTTCTTGATGTGAGAGCCTTGGCTTCAACAAGTCCTGATGACTTGGGTCCTCTGTTTTAAACAATAAAAATTAGGGGCTGCTATTGAGTACAGTAGGTTAAACCGCCACCTGCAAAGCTGGCATCTCATAGGAGCACCAGTTTGAGTACTGGTGGGCTCCACTTCTTATCCAGCTCCCTGCTAATGTGCCTAGGAAGGCAGCAGAGGATGTCCCAAACGCTTGGGCCATACCACCCACGTAGGATACCTGGGTGAAATTCCTGGTTCCTGGCATTGGCTTGGCCTAGCCCTGGCTGTTGTGGGCATTTGAGGAGGGAAGCAATAGATGGAAGACACACACACACATCTCTCTCTCACACACACACACACATATTCTCCACATTCTCTCTCTCTCTCTCTCTCTCTCTCTCTCTCTCTCTCTGTATGTGTAACTGCCTTTCAAATAAAAATAAATCCTTAAAAAAATAAAATTTAGAGTTTCATGGGGCCAGCACTGTGGCACAGCGGGTTAACACCCTGGCCTGAAGCGCCGGCATCCCATATGGGCGCCAGTTCTAGTCCCCGCTGCTCCACTTCCGATGCAGCTCTCTGCTGTGGCCCGGGAGTGCAGTGGAGGATGGCCCAAGTCCTTGGGCCCTGCACCCCATGGGAGACCCAGAGGAAGCTCCTGGCTCCTGGCTTTGGATCGGCACAGCTCCGACCGTTGTGGCCGTCTGGGGAGTGAACCATCAGATGGAAGACCTCTCTCTCTCTGCCTCTGCCTTTCAAATAAATAAGTAAAATCTTTAAAATAAAATAAATAAAATCTTTAAAAAATTCATGGACCACTTGTTTGTCTACTAATTAAGGTCAAGAAAACCTATATTTTGGGAAAAACGCTAAAGGCGTGTGTTTTCTGTGTGTGTTCACTCGCCCACTTTGTAACATTAGCTGCCTCCTGCTTCCATGGGCTACACAGATACCCTGTAAGTGATTTTGCTGATATGTTTCAGTATTATTTATAGACTTAATTTCCAGAAGTCTCAGTGAGAATTATAATCATGACTGCAGTAGCAGTCAAATTTATGTAACACCATCTCTTAAAGGATTTTAAGAGCTTATTAGTGTGTGTTTGTGTGAAATCTCAATTTTCACCATGTCGATTCACGATCAGCTTTGTAACATACACTGTAATTAAAGTATAGGCATAAAAGAATTAGTCCTAAAGAGCTGATGCACAAATTACCACGTGGAGTGTTTTTCCAAAATTTTACAACCCAAATACAAGAAAATTACTAATTGGCGTTTGAACTGAGACTATTTAGTAAGTCAGTCAGTTACTCAGATCTAGTTTCATTCAGTGTAATTTTATCTTTTAAGTCAAATCCGCACTCATTTTACATGCAACTCAAATATAGGCACTAAAGAAATGACCTTTGAAGTAATAAAAATTGGTCATCAATAATCCATTATTTAAGCCTATTTACACTGCAAGGAAGACATCGATTATTTGTCACAATTAGGCAGTAAGTAGGGCAGTGGTTCTATGTGAAGCCACGAAAATAGAAATGAAATTTTTGATTCCAAAATACAGGTGTTTTGCTGATACACCTCTGCTCTCTCCACTTGTCCTGCAGGTTCTAGCAAGTATATGGCAATGAGGAGGTTTGCAGAGAAAACTTTGGTGGATGGACGTGATTCGGTACAGCCAATAAGAGCACGCAAACAAATCGCATCATTGAAATCCACACGGTGGGTCTGTCGGGGAGGGAGGGGGAATCCAGGGGACCCTGTAGCATCCGCACCTTGCCAGCGGGACCCCATTTCCTTTCTACAGTCTGTGCTGGCTTGGGTTTCAGAAAGAGATCACAGGGTCTTCGGCAGGAAGAAGCGTCAGCAGCACACAGCTAAAATCGTTTCCAAAGCAGAAGTCGGCCTGTGCTAGGTGGTCGGGAAACAATGAGGGTCTGCCAAGATTTGTCCACTCTTAATGTAAAGGTGATTTGTGTTAAAGGGCTTACAGATCTGTGCAGGTGGCAGATGAAAATACACCTCTGTGCTTGTGTGGTCCTCCAGAAGCCGATCTTGATGCAGAGATTAGAATCAGGAAGTTTGGGCGGTGAAGGAAGCCCCAGCCTTGGGAATGAAGACATGAGACCACCGGAACGAAGGGAGCAAGCTCCAGCCACGCTGTGCAGCTGCAGCTTAATCGCACTGGGGAAATTCAGGAGCAGGGGACAACAACCTCTCTTCTGTTTTCAAAGGAAATACAGCAGCCTTCAGCTCAGCTGCAAACCTGACGTCGAGAGATTTTCAAAATACATGTGCAGGACGGAGCTGGCTGTCATACTTGCGTTTTCCCGAGAGGAATCCCACAGCTTCCCTGGAGCAGGGGCCCCTCCTGTGTTTAGTTGAGCGTGGCTTGCAACATGCACGCTGCCAGTCACCCTTATGATTGCTATGGGACTGGTGCGAGGGATCAATCTTGGAGAATGTCCGCCATTCACTACGCAGGGAAATAGAACGATGTGTAAAATATTCCAATGCACCAACACCTTACTGCTATAGGAAATAGGACCTGGTCATTTCCCAGTATCAACTGAGTTGTGATCTTGTGGCCGCAGAACTATCAGATCCACTGGAAGTCAGCTGTAGGACAGTACCTATGGTCCAAATAAGTGAAAACCAAAAAATAAAAAGGGAAGGAGGGTAGTGTATGGGAGGCTGGTGGTGCTCAGAACAGAGTTCGCCACAAAACTTTTCCTTGATCCAGAGTTCTGATGAGTTCAATGGGTGTACTGGGAGGCACTGACAGCAGACACAGGGTCAGGGCGTCTTGTCGCCTCCCCTGCCTGCCTTTGAGGTTCCAGCAGTGGCTGCTCACCTCCACGATCCGAGGCCCCAGGAACAGCTGCTCTGTCATGGTTCCCGCTCCCTCCAGGCTCTGTAACATTGGGCTTTCCTCCCCCATCTGGAGCCCAAGGGCTGGAACGGCTCCTCGCTGTCCTGGTCTCTGGGTGCCTTGCTAGCCCCTTCCTGGTTTCCTGAGCCTGCCCACACCGCTGAGAATAATCCCGGCATTATCTTTGCTTCTGTTAAATTCACTGGAGTGGACTTTTTCCTGACATGACCCTGACTCATACACTTTGTTCATTGTTTTCCTAACATGTCTTTGTTAAATGTGCATCAGAAATTAGGATTCCAAAGAGTCTCTCAGAAAAAAAAAAAAAAGTCATAACTGGCATCCTCAGACCAAGTGACAGGAAGAGGCAAAAACACCGTATAAAAAGCAGCAACAGCTGGGCTGGCGCTGTGGCGTAGCCGGTAAAGCCACCGCCTGCAGTGCCAGCATCCATATGGGTGCCAGTTTGAGTTCCGGCTGCTCCTCTTCTGATCCAGCTCTGCCGTGGCCTGGGAAAGCAGTGGAAGTCGGTCCAAGTATTTGGGCCCCTGCACCACGTGGGAAACCGGGCAGAAGCTCCTGGCTCTGGAGAGGTCCAGCTCTGGCTGTTGCGGCCATCTGGGGAGTGAACCAGCAGATGGAGAACTCTCCCTCTCTCTCTCCTCCTCCTCCTCCTCCTCTCTGTAACAGCACCTTTCAAAAAATAAATAAATCTTAAAAAAAAAAAAAAAGGCAGCAACAGGGATAGGCATTTTAGCAAGTTAACATGCTTGGGATGCCTGCATCCAATACCACAGTTCCTGGTTACTCCACTTCAGATCCAGCTTCCTGCTAACTCACACCCTGGTGGGCAGCAGATAATGGCTCAAGTACTTGGGTCCTCCCACCCACATGGGAGATCTAATGGGTGGGGTTAGAGGATTCCTGCCTCCCAGATGGGTTTCTGGCTCCTGGCTTCAGCTGGTCCAGCCTTGCTGTTGCAGCCACTTGGGGAGTGAACTAGCTGGTGGAAGAACTCTCTCTCTCTCCCTTTCAAATAAATTTTTTAAAGATTTTATTTATTTATTTATTTATTTATTTATTTATATGAGAGGTAGATTTATAGACAGAGAGAAAGGTCTCCCATCCACTGGTTCACTCCACAAATGGCTGCAGCAGCCAGAGCTGCGCCGATCCGAAGCCTGGTGCCAGGAGCTTCTTCCTGGTCTCTCACGCAGGTGCAGGGGTCCAAGAACTTGGACCATCTTCTACTGCTTTCCAAGGCCATAGCAGAGAGCTGGATCGGAAGAGGAGCAGCCAGGACCAGAACTGATGCCCATATGGGATGCCGGCGCCGCAGGCAGAAGCTTTAGCCCACTACGCCACAGTGCCTACCCCATCAAATAAATAAACTTTTAAAAGGCAGGAATAGAGAGATTCGAGACATACCCTGTTTGAAGTATTTAGTGAAGGCATTTCAGTGGTCTTGGAGGTCGTTGGACTTTTTGGAATGTACCTTTTAATGACTCCATGCCGAGGCCCTATGGAAGTAAGACTAATTTTTACTAAAAATTCAGGTTTGCTGGGAAGCCCTTCAGCTCCTGACTGCTCTCACTGATGGCTGTAATCCCAGGAAAGGAGGGAGAGGAAGCCTCGTCTCGCCTTGGGCAGGTCCCCACATGCTGCAGCTGGCATACACATTGGCACACGTAAAACCAGCCCGCTGGCCACAGGTGCTGGCTCATCTCGAAGGTATTCCAATGTGTTTCCTCAAATTCTAACTTTTAAAAAAATAAAACTTGTTATTTCCACTTTCATATCACTCATTCTAGTTTCTAAAAATAGAACCAATGGCACCATATGTCCATCACCATTGGCTAAAAGAAAAATTTTATGTAAAGCAATGAGTTGGATCTAAATAGGGTAGCCTATCTAGTTAAGAGAGAATAAAAGTCTTGAAATCAACTTTGCATAGTTATGAAAGAACTTTAATCATTAAAATTACTAAGATTTTGGAAGGGGAAAAAAATTTCCACTTTCAGGGAACACTACTACATCTGTTGATATTCTCATGGCAGCATTTAGATAGCTGTCATGGCAACCATAATTTAATCCTACAGCAGGGACTTGGAACACCCAGGCACCCCAGGAAGTGGGGAGAGTGATTCAGCGGGCGGCACGCTCCTGGCCTTGTGAGTCAGGAACATAGCAGTGCTCTCACTCAGCCTGGCTTCAGGCACCACTAGGCAAGGTACAAAGTGCACCTGCCACGTGACCTGTGGCGCTTTCCACCGGAGCAGAGCGTGAGCTGCATGAAGGACTCCCGCAGAGCTTACCTTCGGTGGCTTCTGAGACCCGTTTTCAGCTTGTGACAAACGTAGAGCCGTCCTTTCTCTCCTTTTTGCCTTTGAAGCAAATCATCTTTGAGGTGTAAGGTCAGGAAGAAGGTGAAACATTGAATGGTTCTTTTTACTGCCTTATCGGTTTTGTGTGAAAGGTAACAAGAGAAGAGGTGTACAGGAATGGCTAGAAGGAGACGTTTTTCATCTTCATTTCCAGGCATAACATCACCAGCCCTGCACTTGTCAGGACTACCAAGTTCAAATCTAGAGTTGCGGAAAAGCTCCTTTGCTTTGCATAGTCTGTGAGCTCTGTGAGCTCAGCGTGTCTTATGGCTCTGAAATACCTGTGGAGTGTTCTCAGTGGGCTAAAGCCCAAAGATGCAGCGTAACAAACGGACTACAAGTAGGCAAATGACTTGGCTTCTCGAAGAAAGCACCTGAAGAGTTCTTGCCTTGCAAAATTTCTTAGCATTTTTTTCCTGCTCTATTAACTTTTTTCAAAGATTTATTTATTTATTTATTCATTTATTTATTTTTAAAGTCAGAGTTACAGAGGCAGAGGAATCATCTATCTGCTGTTTCATCCATCTGGCCACAACAGCCAGGGCAGGGCAGGCCAAAGCTGGGAGCCAGGAGACAGGAGGCTCCACCAGATCTTCCACGTGGGCACAGGGGCCCCAACACCACTTGGGCCATCTTCCGCTGACTTCCCAAGCCATCAGAAGGGAGCTGGATCAGAAGTAGAGTAGCCAGGACTTGAACCGGCACCTATATGGGATGCCAGCACTGCAGGTGGAGGCTTTACCCATTGTGCCACAGAACAGGCCCCAGTTAACTCTTTCTTATTATTTGTGTATGTGCATGTGTGTAGAGTGCAAGAGAGTTTTGTATATCCAAACATACACTAACTCCCGTTTAGCTTGGGGAAAAATATTTGAAAGAAAGCAAAAGTTGTATAGGAAGTTGCAGAACTTGTGGGAGGAACAAAGGAGAACACCCTGTCTTTTGGTTTTGACAAATTCTATGCCAGTGCTCCATCTGAGCCGGGAGCTGTGCTGGCGCTGCTTATGATTACATCTTGAACTCCGAACCATTTGAAAGTATCTGCGAATACAGTTTCCCACACAAATAAGCCAGCTTGCCTCCCCAGTCTTTTCTGAATACCATTCTCCCATGTACTGATCTTGAATGTCCTTAGTTACAGTCCGCGTCATTTCTGCAGAGTTCCACACACTTTTCCTGCGGCGGTTAACTTGACAAGAAGGCTGGATTCCCTTTGGTGAGGTGCTTCTCTCCAATGGCCAAGATTCCAGAGCGGCTAACAGACGGATTTCCTCCCCGGTTAATCAGCCCGGGGAAAGGAGCTGGCACTCTCTGTCAGACTGGTTCCACTTCATTTCCGCCACCCTCCTCTCCCGGCTGTTTGCCTTGCAAGGGTGAAGCGAAAAAGAGGCCTCAGTTAGATTAAAATCTGCTCCTTCATGCTGGTTTCTTAGACTTTGAGAAGCATGCTTGCTAACTTTCTATCCCCTGGATGGAGAGATGGAGGCTGGAGGAAGACTTCTGGAGGGGCTTCAGGACCCCCCCGTCCCCCCGCCCACCCGGTTAGCAATCAAGCTCTGACATTAGTGAGCAAGGCCGTGTTGGACAAGAGTCACCTCAGCTATAGCTCTCACTGCCTCCATTTCTTCCCCTGGCAAAGGGTTGGAGTGGAGGATTCGAATATCCTGTATTCGAATATCCCAGTATTCTCTTTATGACCTCAAGATATTTAACAAAGGAAAGCATCTTTGATTCTTGGCATATTTTAAAGTAACGTTCACCGCAATATAATAGTACTTAACACTCTTTCATCTTTAAACTATTTTTCTCTTTTGATCTTCGAAATATCCCTTGGGTAGGAGTTGTTATTCCTGTGTTTCTGATAGGGAGACTTGAAGGTTCCTTAATGGACCAAATGAGATAGGGTCCTTGTCTGCACCTGAGTCCCATTCACTGACCCCAGGCCCTGTGCTGACCCCCACCAGTGCAGAGAATTGTTCAGCTGATCTACCTCCGCTTTAAAGTCCCAGAAACTATATTGCTGAACTCTTCTTGAACTTGTAATTACAGCCAGGAGAACAATGGCACGTGTCGGCTGGCACTGTGGTGCAGTGGATTTACCCACTTCTTTTGATGCTTCTGATGCCGACATCCCAAACCAAAGCACCAGTTCAAGCCCCAGACTGTTCTGCTTCTGACCCAGCTCCCTGCTAGTGCACCTGAGAAAGCAGCCCTTGGATCCTGCCACCCGCATGGGAGACCCAAATGACTCCCTGGTCCCTGGTTCCTGGTTCCTGGCCCAGCCCTGGCTGTTGCAGCCATTTGGGGAGTGAACCAGCAGACGGAAGAGCTTTCTCTCTCCACCTTTCCAATACATAAATAAATCTTTAAAAAAAATAATTGTAATGAAATACTAACCTTTCAGAAATGGCTACAGAATAAATGATGAATTAACTATTATATCACTGAAATATTCACAGAATTGAAAACTTGGGCTTAATGAGTTAAAGGCACATCTAATTAAATCATTTTAAAAGGGAGACCGGGAAACCTGGAATGGTAACATTCTGTGGAACCACCATGGGTCCACAGCTACTCAGGGTGAGATGCATTCCTGGTGTTATATGGGGAGTTGTTTGAAAAGTGATCAAAGGGCTGGCGTTGTGGTGCAGGGTGTTACGCCACAGCCTGCAACATAGGCATCCCATGTGGGCACCAGTTTAAGTCCCAGTTGCTCTGCTTCAGATCCAGCTCCCTGCTAATGTACCTGGGAGAGTAGCAGAAGATGGCCCAATTACATGGGCCCCTGCCACCCACATGGGAGACCCAGATGGAGTGCCAGGCTCCTAACTTCGGCCTGGCCCAGCCTCTGCCATTGCAGCCATTTCGAAGTAAACCAGCAAGTGGAAGTCTCCCTCTCTCTCTCTCTCTTTTTCTCTCTCTCTCTCTCTGTAACTTTACCTTTCAAATAAATAAATCTTAAAAAGAGGTAGAGAAGAAAAGTGGTAAGAATTGAACAAATGCAATATGAAAGTAAGTGTTGGGTTATGTAAAGAAACAGGGCCATCTGACCCTGTGAATGAACTTTTATTGCCTTTTGTACAGCAACAAAACCACTTATCACTTATCTTTCTTGCTGTTCCTGTATTTTCCCTCCATCTTGCACTTTAACTGCTGAGTCTGGGATAACCTAAAAGGGGAAGAAGAGTTCCCAAGCCCTTTCTCTGGGCAGTGTTTGTTGGTTCGCTGTGTGAAGAGGGATAACACAGACCCCAAGAGATGAACAAAGGATAGGGTGGACAATTCACAAAAAAGGAAATCAGTTGTTTAACAAGCAGTGGGGAAATGTCAGATCTCAGTATTAATCAAAGATACTGCACACAAAAGCCATAAAAGGGACCCTTTCCCAAAGTGTGTTTTATGATAATACTCGACAGACAACAGGGTGAAGCCTGGTTCCTTGCCTGGTTCCTTACATAGATGTAGCTCTGCTAAAGAGAGAATTGGCAGTGAAGCGGGCATTGTGGTGCAGTGGGTGGTGGGACAGCCACATGCGTATCAGACACAGTGCTTGGGTTCTGATCCAGCTCCTGCTGATGTGCACCCTGGAAGGTAGCAGAAGATGGCTCGAGTGCTTGAGTCCCTGTCGCCCGCCTGAGAGACCCAGACGGAGTTCCTGGCTTCCTGCTTCAGGATGGCCCAGCCCCAGCTATTGTAGGTATTTGGGGAGTGAACCAGCTGATGAAGGATCTCTGTCTGTCTGTCTGTCTCTCCTGCTCTGTGTCTCTGTTCCTTTCAAAGAAATATAAATAAATAAACTTGAAGAAAAAAATCATTTAAAAATTGGTGGTGATACAAATCAAAATTTAAACACTGACTTGTTAAGTGCTTTTTGAATTAGTAATTCCACTTCTGAAAAGTCTAAACCTTACAAGGGTTTTGTATAGACTAAAGCAATGATCACAATAACTATTTTTATTAGCAAGACACTAAATCAACATCCGGTAATAAATTACAGTGTGGCTCATCCTACCAAAACGTTGTGAAACCATTAAAATTAGTTCATGAAGTGTTGCTAACCAAACGGGAAAATTCTCTTGTTATCATGTAATGTGCAGAATCAGGTAATGAAGACCATGGAGTGGGTGCACATTATGGTGTGGTGGGTTGGCTGCTGCTTAGGATTCCCTCAGCCCATGTCAGAGTGCCCAGTAGTAGGCGTGGCTACGCTGTTGTGATCCAGCTCCTTGCTAATCCACCTGGGAGAGGGTAGAATAGGTGACGGCTCAAACACTTGGGTCCTGCCACCCACGTGGGAAGCCCAGGTGGGGTTTCTTGCTCCTGGCTTTAATCTGGCCCAGCCCTGGC